TCGGGTTCATCCCGGATGACATACACAAGAACGCCCGTCTGGTGGACTCCAGCCAGCGCGCGGCGTATCTCCTCCTCATGATCCAGGAGTGGCTGAACCTGGTCCTCAACCTCGTCGTGATGGTCATGGCGGCGGTCCTGACGACGCTGGCCGTCCGGCTGCATTCGAACTCGGCCTTCGCCGGTGCATCACTGTATTCGCTGATGACCTTCGGCGACAGCCTCTCGGGGATCGTGATTTACTACACCAGACTGGAGACCTCCATCGGCGCGATCGCGAGATTGAAAACCTTCAATGAGACCGTCACGCCGGAGGACCGCGACGGTCCCGGAGAGGAGGACATCGTCCCAGACACGAACTGGCCGGATCGCGGGCTGGTCGAGTTGCACGGTGTCTCCGCCCGGTACAAACTCACCACCGTGTCTGAATCCGACTCTGAATCCAACTCTAACTCCGTCGTCTCTGGCGTCACCAAGCCGCCCCTAGCCCTCAAGAACATCACTCTAACTATCCACCCGGGGGAAAAGGTCGCCATCTGCGGCCGCACCGGCAGCGGCAAATCCAGCTTCCTCGCTCTTCTGCTGAAACTCCTCGATCCGCTGCCCTCAACCGACAACAATCATGACCAGGAACCTCCGGTCTTGATCGACAACATCCCGCTGCACCGCATCCACCGCGCGACCCTCCGCCAACGCCTCATCGCCGTCCCCCAGGACCCTGTCTTCCTGCCCGACGGCTCGTCCTTCCGCGCGAACCTCGACCCGACCAACACCGCAACCCCGGCGGAGTGCCAGCGGGTCCTCGAAGCGGTCCGGCTGTGGGGGTTCGTCCAGGAACGGGCGGGGGTGCTGCATGCGCCCGTCACGGCGGGGACCTTGAGTGCCGGGCAGAGGCAGCTCTTCTCGCTGGGGCGGGCGGTGCTCCGTGCTATGTTCCGCCTGCGTTCAACGTCTCCCTCCCCCGAGGAGGGGGGGTCCGACAATCAAGATCAAGGGGGAATCCTCCTGCTCGACGAAGTCAGCTCAAGCGTGGACCGGGAATCCGAGCGGATGATGCAGGAGATCATTCGGGCGGAGTTCAGACACTACACGATCATTGCGGTAAGTCATCGCCTGGAGATGATCATGGACTTCGATCGGGTGGTGGTGATGGATCGCGGGGAGGTGGTGGAGGTTGGGAGTCCAGCGGCCCTGAAAGGGACCCCTGGGAGTCGGTTTGGGGAGTCGGTGGCCGCTGCTGGTGTGTAGGTTGCAAACTTTTCAACAACATCTGTTCAGTACTAGCTCTATCCTAGCATACTTGATCTCAATTGAATCATATTTATAATCACACTCTAGACAGCAAATGAGTACAACAACTAAGAGACAAGATCATCCCCCAAAAACCCCCCAGCGCCCCCTACAAGCCCCCGCAACTTTAGATTAAGCTTATTATTATTCTCTTCCTTTAGAGCCATAAGCTTACTATCTTTTTACTAATGAATTCTAAGAAATATACAAGGTTATTATAGATAGTCTAAAGTTAGTAAGATCTTTAAGTTAATAATATTAAGATAAGTTATGGGGTTTCTTTACTTTTCCTTTCTTTCTTAGAAAATAGGGTTAGGGAAACTTCAATCTAATTAAGATAGTATTTTCTCTTTAATTTCGCTAAGAGAGTAGAAGAAGTAATAAAAATACTATAAAAAGGATTTAAAAAGAATTTATTAACTAACTCTTTTATTACAGTTAAGCTAGAAATAAAAGAGTTATCCATGGAATCAATTCATTTCATTGACTCTAACATCATACATGGTGAATATAACAGACAAATGATTGACAACCTGTGGTCCAATATGCCAAACAACCTCAAACAAACATTGAATGCACGCTCTGAATGGGGGAAATGATGAACAATCAAGGAACAAACTCCACATAGATCCATAAGCGTCGCAGTAAATCGAATCCATCATGTCGTACCATCATCAGTATCTTGTCAAATTATCTTTCAAATCATTCAATCAGTCATCATCTCAGAAGTCAGCCGCCAAATCCGTTGGCGCGATTGTCTCTATCTCATCCTTTGCTGATCGCATCGCCGGACACGTGGGTTCAGACCGCTCAATCACCAGATCTAGATTTGCAGGAGATGTTTCTACCTCCTGCAATCTAGCTTCCGAACTTTTCGAATTAGCAACACTCTTGGAAGATGCTGTTGTGGAAGATACTGGAGCAGAAATCTGAGGCGTGGGAGCAGCAGTGCTGGAGGACGATACAGTAACAGATTCAGAAGCCGCTGAAGGAATAGCCTGAGAGGTTCTCGAGCTGGTCTCTTCCCTCACGGTTTCTTTCTGAAGAGTGGAAGTTTCAACAGTCATGGCAGGTTCTGCTGCCGTTAAAGAGAGCACAGTAGAAAAGCTCGGCTGGTCTGTCCAGCTCGGAGTCGGATGTTGCTCCATTGAAACGGTAGATGAGAGCGCAGAAATGGATTCAAACATATCCCCGGGAAATGGTCGAAGATGCGAAGAGGAGGTTTGAGGTTTGACCCCAAGGGCAAGGTATACCGCCAGCACACTTAAAAGGACAATTGTCACGTTGCGACGGTCACTAGCCAAGACCCGGATGTAGTTGATGAGCAGCGTTTGCAGGTCGATATCTTCCACTGGCCTCGGAGAATACGTTGGGGGCGGCATGCCTGGAGCCTTCGCTGGCGTTGTAATTGCTGGTGCAGGAGATGAGGGGCGGGCAGGCTCCTCAGGAGCAAATAATCTTGGTTCATGAATCAATGGGGTAGGTGTATTCGCGCGCGACGGTTGATCATACAGCTCTGCGGTGATGCTGGTGGCGGGCTCCCTGAGTTGCGGCACCTGTAGCCTAAGATCAGTGCTAGGGCGATCATTGTCCAAAAGTCGCTTTTCCAGCTCCCGCCTAATCTCAGACGGCAGCCAAAGGCCGACTTCGACATCCACCTTTTCCATCTCCTTCCAGGCTGCAGCCCAGGCACCAGCTCTCATCAGCCCGTTTGCGGCGAAAACCTTGATCTCCCACTTCCTACTCGAATCGTGCCTTGGGAATCGTCCTCCACAATCAGGGCACTCTTCTCCTTGCTCATCATCAGTAGCACTATCATCTGTGGCCGACTGGTCACCCTTCTCCGATTCCGTGTCCTCATGTCCCAAAAAGTGGCCATGATGGAGCCGTGGACGCTGGAGTTCCAGACTTTCCAGCAATCGTTCCTCAAGCAGATCATACATATCCTCCGGGTGAGAAATGAGCACACCCCGGTCACGAATCACGCTGGAACCAACCTTCTCCTCCAGCAACTTCCATCTTCTCCAGTACTCCGGAGGCAGCACCTCTCTCAGTATCTTCTGGTCCGGGTACCCAATCAAACCTGGCACAGGCAGCGAAGGAGGAAGCAAGGTGCAGTGAAGCAAAACAAGCGGATACTCCTTCTTAACTTTCTGCCTCCCCGTAGACCCGGTAGGCGAGTAATAAGGTGATCTCTTAAGCGGAGACGACCCCGCCGAACGAATTGAGATATCCGACATCCGATGTCCGCCCCTCCGCTTGGGCGGGGTGAGGAACTCGTCATCATCCTCATCCTCCGTATGCATCTGCATAGCGCGCACAGAACTGGGCTTCCGGAAAGCAGCCTCCCGTTGCCTGATTGTTTGTATAGACTTGAACTGTGCCTCCATTCTGCCATGACCGGGGTTATCTTGATTGATCCAGGAGTGGCGGATTCGCTCATCTGCGCCGCAGCCGATCGCAGGCTTCAGCTCGCTTGGGGGGTGGATCAGCACCGAATCGGGGATAGAGGAGATCGAAGAGCGACTGGATGCACGCGAGTCCAATGGAGCTAAGTCGTCATCATCCAGGTCATGACCAGATGTATCGCTCGTGGAGTGTTGCGTTGAGGATTCCGATGAATTGTACCCGCAGTCCTGAACAGACATATGAGCATCGTCGCTCAGTCGTCTTTCTTCCTCGCGATGTGGTGAATCTTCGTGGGAAGCCGCTCTTGTCCCGTTGATGGGGGCTAGTCCGTCGGCTGAAGGGCTTGAGCCGAAAAGCGGTTCGTTTGGAGTGAAATTGGCAAATTCGGTCAAATGAGGGGCGTCGGATATATCCTCCATAATAAAGACATGGAATGCGCAAGGAATCAAGAATGTGTGTGCTGTTGGTCGACTTTAATGTTGGGGAATGCGTCTTATCGGACGCAGGTATCTATAAGTAAACAACGCTGCTAAACATGCAAATCATCAACGAAAGATGTTTGAAGATGGAGATGCATAACTGTTCTCTTGAAGATAGAGTAGATGGAATAAATTGAGCATCACTTTGATGAAGAAACGGTCGTCCTTACAGCAACCACCTGATGAGTTGTTGCTGGTGTTTTTCATCCTCTGGTTGTGCAGGGCAACCATGCATGGAGAGATGGCGGTCTACTCTACCTTAGTGGCTGGTCAACCTCCTAGATCAGCACTGCTTGGCGCAAGGTTTCGTTCGATAGATGAAATCTCCACAGGGGCCTTTAATTGTTATCTGACAGGTCATCTACTCAGTATTCGATTTGAGAATTTCCAAAGATAGGAATAGCAGTTGAGCATCTACCCATAAACGTAGGGCCGTCTGCATGCTCAGCGCTCACTACAAGTGATGGTCACATCTATTGAGATTGACCGATGGGCTCAACTTGGGACATGACTTTGAATTCAGAATATAGATACAGAATGCGATCAGTACACTGTCGCAAGGGTAATATAGATTGTCCCAGTCAGATAGTTACAATGCATGACGAGGGTTCACTTGTGACTACCTTCATAAATGCTTGCTCGCTGAATTGAAGCATGACTAATGCAGAACGAAGTAAATAGCAGATTACGCTTAAATAGAATGCATATGCAATGCCAAGGTGTTGGAAGTGGCTTTCTTTCACTCAATCATGACCGAAGGTGACAAACTACCGGTCGTATATTCATACAGTCGTCAGATGTATGCAACAATAGTGACATGAATTCATTCCGAAGGTCGGGTATGATTTTCGTCTGCGCTCATCAGAGGGTAATTTTGTTGTTCCTCAAAGTAATGGAGGACATCTTGCGGTAGATATTCAAGGTAAGGTAGAATTTCACCATTGAAGGGAAATGGAAAGTGCTCTTGTTGTTGGAGAGCATTCACATCGACATCCTGGCTTTCTATAAAGACCCCACCGAAGTTCGAGCCCATGTTGGATTGTAGATGTGTCGATTGTGGGTTTATATGGCTGCTACCTGCATGCCGTTCGCTCTGTGCAGACGCCATGGTGTAACTGTAGTGAGAGGTATGAGGTTGCAGTTGAGACGAAGGCGAAGAGGTGAGGCCCTGGGTGTAAGTTGGTTGAGTATTCGATGTGTTATCGGTTCGGTTAGAATATGATGTATTTAGGCCCAGTAGAAGATTGACATCAGAAGCAGCAACTCGTCCAGGAGGGACAAGCGAACCGTATTTCGCGGGTCCATTAGAGATTGATGAACATCGTGCCCCGCCTGAAGCCCGCGTCGTTTCCACTGACTGCGTATACGAGCTCGAACCTTGAGCCGACAGATTGGGGTAGCTGTGACTATACTGAGAAGAATAGGTAGGTCTATTCGAGTCATAATCGGCTTGGGAAGCTGGCATCTGGTATAACAAGCTGAGATTTGGTTGAGAAGAGTTGGTGGCTCCAGTAAGAGCCCATCCAATGGCTAGCAGAAATACGTTAGCTATCGCATTTTGTGGTAAGTGCCAATATGTCATGATTGTCATACCTTGCCCCGGGTCAATCCTCGGTGATATTCTGCCTTGTGCAGAGGAATTTGCAGCACTTGCAGCCTTTTTTGGCTCAATAGTGGCACTCAATGGTGACTTTGCTTGTCGGTAGGTGGAAGCTGCGGAGGGCGGAAGTGGAAATGTCTCAGTTGCATTTTCCATCTCCTCTTCAGTATAGAGTAATGGATCAACGATACCCTTAGCCTTCTGATCTAGAACGGTTAGAATATACCTAGTACCCTCCCAATATGTCTCAAGAGCCTTGAGGGCTTTGTAGCACCGCTGATAGTTTTCTCGGGCAGCGGAAGCGAGAAGTATATGCTTAGCGCTCGACTTTCGTCCCGAAGGAGAGTCCATGTTTGGCATCACGAAGCCACTAGACTGGTCATTGAGAAGCGGTTGACACGGAGGGGAACCCGACCTCGAAGGGGGCGACGAATAATATGCGCTCTCCATGAGAAAGGCGCAAGCAGCGATGTACATTGGCTGACTCGTGAATGGATTGCCGATAAAGCTCTTCCCATCAACAAGCTCAGAGAAAGATAGAATGTCGGCTATTGTCTTGGCTGAGGACATCGACAATTCTCTGCTGTTTGGGTAGAGATGCTGTATTGTACCGCCGAACGAATTCAGGAGAGTCGGTTGGTGAAGGAGGACGATGAGGGTGTGAAACCACTTCATGTATGTTAGATCAAGAGCCGAAATAATGTGGATGTTGGAAATCATCTTACAAAATGGAGAAGTATGAAATTTGTTCCTTCTTTCGCTTTCACGTACGCCTGGAAATTGGCCGCATTAAAATGCAGTCTGGGTGACAATCGCTGGTAGATGCCTGGAAAAATATGTAAGCCTACGAAGGGACCAGATGATAGGGGAGGAAGAGAAAAGATGACCGCCTACCTGTCAGATCACTTTCCATCCCGGCAAGTCTCTTCAATGTCTCTGTTGTGACATGGTTTGCATCCTGAATACCATTGATCAGATCCGTCACTCTTCCGTAAAGGTGTATTATGCGAATGAGTGGTGGGAACGGTGCAGGCCAGCCGTTCGATAGTTTCGATTCCGACTGTAGCGGGAAACATAACTCTATTTCCTCGTCGCGTAGCGTGACTGGCCTCCCAGTACCAGAGGAGATTACACGATCCAGGAAGAAAATACTCCAGAACGTGTCGACTTTTCCACGCTCCCAGGCGCGATGGTCCTCACTATGCTTCATCTCGGCGCTGGGGCTTAAAGGAACTTGAGCATCATCGCATTGATCATATTCTTCCTCCCGTAGCTGCCCTGCCCGTCCAGACACAACTGCACTTGGAGTCACGCCCCTCCGCCCATAGCTGTGTTGCAGTCCCTGCAGCTTCTGCATTCCAAGATCCTGAGCCATTCGAATGGCAATACCTAGATACATCCAGAGACCACTGTCATGATTCGATCCGAATTGTTCGTAGGCCAGCAAAAGACAGGCTTGAACAACAGAAAGCGTGGGGCATGAAAGCGAGTCGACCAAGGCGCCCATTGCCCTATGGGCAAATGCCTGACCGCGGTCTGAGTTCTTCACGTCAGTCTGCAACTCTGAGCCATCGATAGACGGCGCCTGAGGAGGGCCCAGTAGTGGGTGTGGCGAAAATCTCGCAGCCAAAGCACAGACTGCGTCAACGAGCATGGTATCAACTTTCTTATCCTTTAGGTCGCGAAGAAACCGATCTCGCTGCAAGAATGGGAAACTGCAGCCCAGATGAACGAAGAACAAGTCGCAAAGGTGCATGACCAGGTTGCTGACAGGTAAAGTATCTTCTCGGTCATAGAACGGAATGGTATTCGCGTCTCGGAACTCACGGTTATCGATCAACGAATCTATATGACCGATGCCCACGTTTGCAGACTTTGGACTTCGAAGAGGCGAAAGGGACTCTATGATATCGCTCGAACCGTCAGAAGCAAGCGAAAACACTAGCCACAGGAGGTCATAAGCACGAAATGGATTGGATGCATACCTGAAGACAACGACGTATTGCTTTTGCGAGACCCGCGCACCTGTACTACCTGCAGGCAAAATAAGCAAATGGGAAGCTCCCGCAGCAAGAGACCAGGCGAAAACACTAACCATCTGTTTGAAGCCGGGAACAATGGCTGTCGGCCCAAAATATCTAAAATAAGGAACGTGGGTGCGATGGCTTGAGCTTAGGGAGGTGCGACCTTTTGAAGATAATGTGAGTTAACACAGCCAGTAATACCAATTGTGATCGGGTTTCTCCAATATAACGTACTGCTTTCCGGACTTGCTCCGGTTGTATTGTGCTCCGACTCACGGATGTTGCTCGAGGGTGTTTCTCTCGATGCAAGGGCATCCTGAGAGCTTGCATGATCGACCTTCCGGTCCAGGCCACCGCCTGCGGGTTGTTTATACTGTGAAGGACCATCTGGACTTTGACTCTTGACCGTTCGAGGATTTGGTCTCTCATTAGCAGAGGGTAGAGGGGTGAGGCTGGGCGTTTGTGATGCGTTTTCTGAATGCGTCCGAACGTGAGTCGAGGGTTCGCTATATCCTAAACAGACATGTTTGTAATCCACGCAAGTTTGACACACTAGAGGACAGGTTGTCAGTAATAGCATCGATAAATATAAGTGCGGCGTCAGCTTCTCACCTGGCTGTTCACCAGAGCATCTTATTTTCCGCTTGCGACATGTCCGACACCTATAGAATCCACCAATAAGGCTACGGTTAGCCCCGTAAAGAACATTTGTCACGAAGGCAAGCTTACGCCGCATTGACTCGACGGCGCTTGGGCTGGGGCTGTCCATCGCTTGAGACAAAACGTATTTGCCTTGCAGGATGAACATTACTGCCGCCGTTCTTCACAGGAGACGAATGGCTCATTGCGAGCGAATATTCATCCGTGGTCACAACACATGTCACATCAGGTAGTTGATTCTTCCCGACGCTGGAGCAATCGATCGAGACCGAGAGTCAGATCTCAGGGAGTTAGCGGGGAGAGCTAGGATTTTCGTAGATTCCGGCGACGCAGATGAGGATGATCGATGGGACGGAGCACGAGCAGAAGAGAAAACTCCATGGACGTTATCCAACTTTGCGGCGGGCGCAAGATCGCAAGGTCGGGATGTGGGAGGTGAGGGGAAGGGCACGGCACAATGATTATTCTAAATAATGCGTCAGCAGGACTATAGGTCGTGTATTGGTCAAAAATTATCTTTACTCGTACAGTCAGCGATTATAACCATTGCTTTTCCGTAGCTCATCTCAAGCGACAATGCTTTTGTTCTGAATTAGGATGGCCGAGGTCGAGTGCCCTTATTTGCGCAATGCTTGGCCACACTGGTTCAAAAAGACGCCGGACCTGCTCGAAGAATGGTTTGATCGCTCCGATGTAAAATGACAGGGTGAGAAAACTGAAATGGTATCAAATGTAAAAAGACACAGGTAGACAAAATTAGGCAGAGAGCAGACACGTATGGATGGAGGATAGGTAAGGCAGGTAAGGTGTTCTCCGTCTCCCGCGCCCAGGCTGGGGGCCCCAAAAAAATAGGGACCACCATGTGACCCTCCCCATGGTTCTGGATGCTACATCTGCTTGTCCCGTGATTCAAATATGTATTGATCTATCCAAACTGGGTCCAGCATACAGCTACTATCGATCTAAGCAATGAACCGAATACTTCCTTATTTTCTGCGACTCTGTAGATCCCCCGTTTCTCTAGTCTGCGGGTCCAACAGGTACATGGTTCGTCGGCTTTTCATACGCTTTCACGAGAGTTAGAAGCTACTATATTAAGGATCAAGAAGTGTACCTGTTGCATGATCTCAGTGTTGAGCTTCTGTTCCTGCAGGGGCCAGCCGTCGGAGAGAATTCTCTTCATTTGGAGAAGAAGACGAATTTAGCCGGAGAATGGGGAAATAATGGATTGACAGGATCACTAGTTCATGGGGGAGGAGGCTTCCCATGGGCCATGGCTCAATGGACTCAGAAACGGAGTGAGTCCGAGTTCCACAATCGGACAATGGAACGAGCCTCGAAGCCTACATGGAAGGCTAGAAGCCCTCAACAAATCCGCTGGTGGAGGCGTCGATAATCTTTATTCCCCACGTACCGTGGTGTGAACCGAGCCATCTAATTTTGTACAGTGGCATGTTGCTGGACCGAGCTTTGACCGAATTTGAAACGCAAACTTCTATGGCCTGTGAATCTCCACTTGTGCTCTCAATGGTCACAATTGAGCCGGGAACAAGGCGAGATCTGCGACATGCCATATTTGCGCGCCTATCTATCAACAGAACACCGAAGAGCACAGGTTATGAGAAGGGCTCGACTTGACTCTGAGTGAAGAAATCTAGGATGTGATAAGCATGTCTATATCTTATGGCCTCTACCCGCGAACCGACAGAAATCACCTTCATCCCGCTGAAGTGCTGTACAGTCATCTAGAAGTTTGGCCTCGGAATTTCGATGGCATCAGTGGTACGCCCATAAGAGATACCTCCGAGCCGACTGATGGGCTTCAGGACCTTGAGGTCGATAATGCTCTTGTCCTCGTTGATAGCGTCACCCCTCACCCAGAACCGGACCCCCTCGATAATAGCCAGAGTGCCCGTTGTCTTACCCGTCGTTCTGCTCTGGAACTCCTTAGTCTCGACGAGCTTGCCTTCAATTGAGAACATTGACTCCTTGACACGGGCAGCTTGGACGACAGAGCAAGGCGCTTGGTGCAGCCCGGAAATCTCCCACTCAGAGACTCCGTACGGTGTATTGATAGCGGTCGCGTTGGCTGCCTCGACAAAATGCTCAGAGATTATATTAATCACACATTCACCCGACTCGACCATATTCCTCAGCGAGTCCTTTGCCTTCTCAAGCGAGCCAACGAATCCAACAGTGAAAAGAGGAGGGTCGTGATTGATGACTTGAGCATAACTGAACGGGGCCAAGTTCGTCGTCTTTCCATCTTTGGATCTGGTGCTGATAAGCGCAATGGGTCTTGGGACAATTCCCGAGATTAACAGCTTATAGTTTGATGATACCGGTCGTCCTTCTTCGTATGGGTCGATTTCGACGTGATTCTTCTTCAGACTCTCTCCACCATCATTGGCACCGTCGCCTTGTTTCCAGTTTGGATTCGGGGGCTTAGAGAAAGTGACTGGCGCATCACGCTTGAAGTCAGGTCGGGAAGCCTGAATCTTGTCGAAATCATCGCCGACCTTGAACATCGTAGCAGATTGATGAAAAGACCGATAGTAATGGGATATATGAATCGCCCAAGGAAGATATGATTGTACCCGACACCCTCTGCGTAACTTATTAGCAAGTCGCACGCTCTCCCCTTTTGTAACACCGACTTGCTGCCGAGATTCCTTCCCGAGACGACATCCCCTCAGTGTGCAAATGGTGGTAGGACAACGTACAATTGTGTATGCAATGATCTTTGAACTCGCAACGCCCGATATGGAATTGTACGACTCATTACAGACTAGACAAAGACTTCTTCAAGAGGTTCCTTAACACGCGAGTGCTTTCTGTCGATTGGGGCAGACTCCTCGATATTTATTCGTCCAGAGTGTTGGACCAGCACTAACTCCACGGAACATATATATTATAATGACCTAATTTCCACCCCCTTCATCACCATAATTCGTTTAAAAGGGGCGTGGAAATATGCCTTCACTGCCGATCGCCGGGCCGATTTCATCTGAACAGGATACCCGAGGCCACCCCAAGTGGGGAGCTGTCTCTTCTCCTGGATCAACCCGATAAGGGAGACTCTAGACCATGAAGTAGATAGATGCGTCAACATCTCGATAGCGAAGCAAAACAGTAGACCACTATTTCAGCTTATAGAACGTCCTTGTTGGTCTTCGTATCCGCTACGTAATAGTGTGCATTGATTAGATAGGCATACTTTCTTCTCGACAAGGTGCCCTGATCTTATTATCAATCGCAACATGGGATACCGTCGGTGTTACCAATCCAAACGAGCCTGTGCCTCATGACACTGCAATGTGTCTCCAATTAAGTCCTTGGTATCATCGAGGAGACTATAAATATGTAGATGAATCTCTGCTCATCGCTGAACTTTGAACCGGTAGATTCTCAGAGGCGTTCCTATCATCTGACATTATCAGCCAAATCACAGCTATTTTCCAGATCTGCCCTCTCCAACTTGGCACCCAACATGACTGACCAAGATTACGAGACGTTTAAGCTAGGAGACTGGGAACTGCAGAGTGGGGAGAAGATACGTGATGCACATCTTGCGTACAAGACGTTTGGAGACCCAAGCTCCCCCGCAATTGTCTACCCCACATGGTTTTCCGGGAGTACGTAGATACTGTCAGAGAAAACACACATGTCTGTTATACTGACCTTCACCAAGTGATATCAGACAACTTCTGGCTTATAGGAGAAGACAAAGTCCTGAATCCGAAGAAGTATTTCATCATCATACCTGCGCTCTTCGGAAACGGCCAGTCCTCGTCTCCATCCAACCAGCCCAATGCTGGTCCATTTCCGAAATGCTCATTCTACGACAATGTTCGCGCCCAGCACAAGCTTGTCATAGAGCACTTTGGAATCCGGCATCTACGTGCAGTGATCGGCTGGTCAATGGGAGGAGCACAGACCTATCAATGGGCGACTCAGTATCCTGAGTTCATGGATGTTGCAATTCCTTTTTGCGGGTCAGCAAAAACATCGCTGCATAACCAGGTGTTTTTGGAGGGCGTAAAGAGCGCTTTGCTTGCAGCGAAGCGCGTCCCATCGGCGGGTTCGGGGAAGATTGGCCATCTAAAGGCCGATCAGACTCTGGGGATATGGAGTGCTGAGGACAGAGATATTGGGTTGAAAGCTTTTGCTAGAGTGTATGCTGGCTGGTAAGCTGGTTTCCGAACAAAACAACCCTCTATAACATCGAACGACGCGGAGCTGATTGATCATGTCTGGATAGGGGTTTCAGCCAGGCCTTCTACCGGGAGAAGTTGTACGAGACAGCACTCGGCTACAAGGACCTGGAGGACTTTATGCAAAGCTTCTGGGAGAAGTGGGCTTTGTCCAAAGGTAAGCCGTCCGCAGACACTGAGCATATTCCGAACTGGCTCCGTTGACGAGTGATCCCGGTGGATAAGACCCAGATAATCTGTTGGTGATGCTTCAGACCTGGCAGAATGGAGACGTGTCCCAGCAGGAACCATACAATGGTAATTTTGAGAAGGCTATCGCCTCAATCAAGGCCAAGACCCTGGTGATGCCAGGAAAAACTGATCTATATTTCCCGTAAGTGATGCTTCGAGCTTTGGCGTCTAATGCTGAATGTCACTGCACAGTCCCGAGGACTCCGAACATGAAGTCTCCTGCATGCAATCTGGCATTGGAACTCTTCGTATCATTCCTTCTATCTGGGGTCGTAAGTTGATCCTATTCTGACTTTTGGCGAGACATTTCTGACGATCCTCAAACACAGACTGGGCTGGTGGTCCTGGAGACAGCAAAGATGATGTTAAGTGGCTGGACGAGCAACTGGCGGACTTTCTGTAGATTCTGAGTTTGACATAGTGACGGATATCAGCTCAAGTAGGCTCATTTTGTGTTGCAGTTTGATTAGCACATTATTACTGCTCATTGTTCAATTTGAACTGCAAATGCTCAAGTAAATCAATATCACGTGATTTATCCATTCTGTGGCAATGGTGAGCATCATGTGATAAGAGTCTGATAAGTCAGCATACAATCGTGAATAATCCTGGAACTCCTCATCTTGATTGCAACTATTCACTGGGTCAATTCGATCTCCTGTAGTTGTTTTCATCAATTCAGTCCTTCCTTTGTTTTTCCTTC